CAGGCAGGGGAGTAAAAAAAAACCATACACTAGAGATTTAGGGTGTATTTTGATCTGTTAGAAGAAACTATCTCAAAATTTTAAGGAGAGAACAACTTATATATATATATATGCCAAAAATACAGGTAACTACTATGAAGGGATAGAATATGACTCTAAAAATGAAAAATAAAAATGTTTTTTAAAAAAGGGATTGATAAGATGTTGGTTGAAAAAGGGAAAAAGAAAAATTCAAAAAAAAAAAAAACAGTTAAAAAAAATAATTACCTTTGAAAGACTAAAGAATCATGGTAAAAAACTCATGAATTCTATGTGCAGTATTCCCCTAGTGCAGGAGTTCTGCCATTCTCATTGATCGGTAAACTTGGTCTTGGCTGGCTGTTCTCGCTGATCTTCTGGGGGAGGGGCCTGTTGCCGTGGTTCCCAAATGTCTTTGCCAGAGGCGGAATTGCCCCGCCCTTTCCCCCGTCTGGGCTAAGTAATCTGCTCGGGTTTGCTCTCTGGAGCTTTTTTTCCCTTCAAGCTTTCCATACTGCTTTGGAGGCGGAGAGTGAAAATGGCGGCCTCCCAATCTCCGCCCCGGAGGAGCCGAGAACTCGGGGCCCCACTCCTCAGTGCACCACCAGAGAAAAGTAGTCCGTTACTCCCGTCTCCCCGGTCTCCGGCCACATTCCATGCTCACCCGGCCTCTGACCGCGCGTTTGTATCCCTGGCACCCGACTCGGTGTGGAGTCTCCAAACCCAGCAGATCCCTGCGGTGCACTCCCGTGCCGCTCCTCCCAGGGAAGGAAGGTGAGTCTCCCCAGATCTGCCTCTTGTTGGGTCTCTGCTGGAGGAGCAGTGGCCCGACTGTGCCACGGATCATGGTTTATAGCAACCCCGAGCTGAGAGCCCACGCCTCGGCTCCAACTCTGCAGCCGGCTTCCCGCTCCGATACCTGGGAGCTCTGCCGCACTCAGGGACCCCCGGTCTTTCTGTGACCCTGAGGGTCCTGAGACCACACTGTCCCACGAGGGTTCCACCCCCCACTTAGCCACCAGAGTGATGTCCCTCAGCGGAGCAGACTTCTAAAAGTTCCGATTTTATGCTCCGTGGTTCTATCACTTGCCAGAAGTGGCCCACGGAGGCCCCTCCCCCGCCATCTATCCTCCCGAATATCGCCTCGGATTCACTTCTCCGCACGTCCTACCTTCCAGAAAGTGGTCGCTTTTCTGTTCAGAGAGTTGTTGCTATTCTTTTCTTCGATCTCCTGTTGAGTTTGTAGGTGTTCAGAATGGTTTGATCCCTATCCAGCTGAATTCCTAAGAGCAGATGAAATCCAGGTCTCCTACTCCTCCGCCATCTTGCCTACTTTACCCATTACGGTTTTAATATACATTTCCCTAATAACTGATAATGTTGATCATATTTTCATGTGCTTATTTGGCATTTGTGTATCTGCTTTGAACTATCCAAATCCTTTGTCATTTTAAAAATTAGGTTGTTTTCTTACTTGTTTTGAGAATTCTTTCTATATTCTAGATATAGTTCCTTTATCATGTATATATATATTTTAAGATTTTATTAATTTGACAGAGAGACACTAGAGAGGGAACACAAGCAGGGGGAGTGGGAGAGGGAGAAGCAGACTCTCCGCTGAGCAGGAAGCCCAATGTGGGGCTCGATCCCAGGACCCCAGGATAATGACCTGAGCCGAAGGCAGATGCTTAACAACTGAGCCACCCAGGCGTCCCTCACCTATATTTTTTTGTAAAGATTTTCTCCCAATCTGTGACTTTTCATTCTCTCAACAGTGTCTTTTGAAGAGCAGTTTTTCTTTTTGATGAAATCCAGTTTATCCATTTGTTCTTCTATGCATTTTTTGCTTTCGGTGTTCCTATCTAAGAAAGCTTTGCCTAGCACAAAGTCAGAGGTTTTCTCTCATGCTTTCTTTTAGAAGTTTCGTAGTTTAAAAACAAAGTTTTATAGTTTTAGGTCTTACATTTAGATCTGTGATCCATGTGATCCATGTCATCCATTTTGTATTTTTTTTTTAAGATTTTATTTATTTATTTGACAGAGAGAGAGAAAGCATGAGCAGGGGCAGTGGCAGGCTGAGGGAGAGGGAGAAGCAGGCTCCCGCTGAGCAGAGAGCTGGACATGGGGCTTGATCCCAGGACCCTGGGATCATGACCTGAGCCAAGGCAGTCACTCAACCGAGACCCCCAGGCGCCTCCATTTTGTATTCTTTTTTTTTTTTACTTATGATGCATAGCATGGGTCCAGGTTCATTCTTTCTGCATATGGATATCCAGTTCCAGCACCATTTGTTGAAAAGGCTATATTTTCTCCACTTCATGCCATTGTGTCTTTGTCAGGATCAGTTGACCATATGTGTGGGGGTTTATTTATGGACTCTATTCTGTCCCATTGAATTCTTTGGCCTTCTTGATGTAAGTATCATGCTGTTTTAATTACTACCAGTTTATGATAATTTTTGAAATCAGGTAGTTAGTGTTAGTCCTCCAGTTTTGTTCTTTTTCAGGTTTCTTTTGCTATTCTATTCTAGATCCTTTCTGTTTCCAGAACATGAATTGTATTTATTTTATTTATTTATGTTTTCCACATGAATTTTAGAGTCAGCTTGTCATTTCCTAAAAAAAAAAAACACCATTCTGGTGGTCTTCTGGAGATCAGGTTTGGATTATGTTGAATCTACAGACTAATTTTAACAATATTGAATTTTTCAACCCCAAACAGAGTATCTCTCTCCAATTATATAAATCTTCTTTAATTTTCTTGGTAATATTTTGTAGTTTTTAGTGTATAGGTCTTTTTATCCTTTATGATATTACCTGTGGTTATTTTTTATTTTGCAATGCAGTTTCAATTTTTTAATTAATTAAAATTAATTTTAATTCTTAAATTTTAATTTTTTATTGCTAATATGTAGAAATACAGTAGATTTTTGTATAATGATTCTCTCTTCTCCAAACTTGATGAGTTCATTTATTAGTTCTAGTAGCTTTTTAAAAAATTCTGTCAGATTTTCTACATAACCAAAGGTTATCAAACTTTAACTGCTCTTTTACTAATTTCTTAAGGTGGAGCCAAAGGTCATCAATTTAAGACTTTTCTTCTTTTTTAAAATATACATTCAGTGCTGTAAATGCTCATATGAGTGCTAGTATAGCAGGGTTTCAGAAATTCTAACATGTTATGTGTATTCAGTTCAGAATACTTTCTAATTTCTTTTTTCAGTCCTTCTTTGACCCAGGGGTTATTTAAAGATTTTATTTATTTGAGAGAGAGAGAGAGACAGAGAGAGCATGAGCTGGAGGGGAAGCAGCCTTCCCTCTGAGCAGGGAGCCAAATGTGGGGCTTGATCCCAGGACCCTGAGATCATGACCTGAGCTGAAGGCAGACGCTTCATCAACTGAGCCACCCAGGTGCCCTGACCTAGGGGTTATTCAGATGTGTGTTAATTAGTTTGTGGTCGCAGAGCACACTTTCATGACTTCAGTCCTTTTGACTGACTCCTTTTATTACAATTTATTTTATGACCCAAAATATAGTCTCTTTTGGTAAGTGTTCCATGGATACTTGAGAAGAATGGTGGTGTTCCAGTCTACTATACCCTTGCTGATTTTCTGCCTATTGAAATCTCAGACTATAACTGTGAATTTGCCTGTTTCTCTAGTTCTCTAATTCTCTAATTCTATCAATTTTTGCTTTCTGTATTTTTGAACCTATTAATAGATGCATAAACATTTAGGTTTGTTATGCTTCTTTTAATTGACCCTTCTATCATTATAAAATGACCTTATTTATTGCTGCTAGTGTTTTTTGCTTTGAAATCTATTTTGTCTGGTATTAATATAGCCACTCAGGCTCAGCCTTCTTTTGTCAAGTTGTTAGTGTGGTCTGTCATATTTCTGGCCTTTTAAAAAATGTGTGTCTCTACACTTAAAGCATATTTTTTTAATAGGTTGCATACAGTTGGGTCTTCCTTTTTCATCCATTTTGACAGTCTGCCTTTTAATTGAGGCTTTTAGACCATTTTCATTTAATGTGATTATTGAGGTCGTTGATTTGAATCTGTCATCGTGTTGTGTGACTTCCATTTGTCCTTTCTGCTTTTTGCTCCTATTCTCTTCCTTTTCTGCTGTCTTTTAAATTAATCAAGTAATTTTTATGATTTAGTTTTATTTATGTGAGTATGTATATGTATGTATTTTGCTTACTCTAGCTATAACTCTTTAGTTGTGCTATTTTAGTGATTAGGGTTTAAAGTATATGACTTAAGCATCACAGTCCACCTTTGAGTAATGTTATGCCCCATCATAGTAGTTTAAGAAAACTATAATAGCTTACTTCCATTTCTTCTCTCCTAGCCAGATTCTTCTGGATCTGTGGTATTATAGTTTTCATTACTTAGAAAGGTTTTGGTCATTTTTTCTTTTCTTTTTTAAAGATTTTATTCATTTATTTGAGAGAAGGAGAGTGAGAGTGCACGAGAGGGGATGGGGCAGGGCAGAGGGAGAAGCAGACTCCCCAGTAAGCAGGGAGTCTGACACGGGACTCGATCCCAGGACCCTGAGATCATGACCTGAGCTGATGGCAGACACTTAACTGACTGAGCCACCCAGGCACCCCTAAAATATCTTTTATATTGAAGTCATTCAATATATATTTGTTTAAAGTATGAGTGAGTGAATGTGAAAGCACACAGTCCTTTATATGCAAAAAGTACTCACATATTTTATTTCTTTTTTTTTAAAGATTTAATTAAATTACTTGAGAGAAAGAGAGCATGAGTGGGGGTGGGAGAGAAGAACAGAGGGGAAGGCGGGGGGAGAATCTCAAGCAGACTCTGTGCTGAGTGTGGAGCCCGACGTGGGGCTCGATCCCACAAGTCTGAGATTATGACCTGTGCCGAAACCAAGAGTTCGACGCTTAACCAACTGAGCCACCTAGGCGCCCTATATATTTTATTTGTTTTTGTTTTCTCTCTGATGTAGATTCTACTACTTTACTAAAAATCTAGGATGCGATTCTTTCATATCAAAAATTAGAACTTAAAAATCAGTGTAAACAACTTAAAAGAAAAAATAAAGAAATGCAAAATAAAGTTAATGGACTACAAAAGGAGCTATCAGAAACAAAAGAATTGAAATTGCAGTTGGAGCATCAAAAAGTGAAATGGGAACAAGAACTCGGCAGTTTGAGGTATGACATCTTGGTTTCAAGGAAATATTTGAACTATTTACCTTTTTTTTTTTTTAAGAGGCTCCACAGCCAATGTGGGGCTTGAACTCACAGCTGTGAGGTCAAGAGTCGCATGCTCTACCAACTGAGCCAGCCAGGTGCCCCTTGAACTCTTTACTTTTGTACTACAGATGTGTAGGAGAAGTTTGATAATTGCTAACTTACCTTCTGGAATTTTTATAGGAAAGAAAACGTCTTTAGTAGTGTGACGTATGAGATTCTTCAAAATAATTCAGCAAGTTCTTGACAGTGAATACTTCTACTGATAATTTAATGTATATTCCAAATCATAATTTTAATGACCATATAGAAGTACACCATATGGAATCCTCATTATTTAACAAATTGCATTTTGGTTATTTTCCATTTTTCTCTAAGTGTTGTAAGGAATGTCTTTTATATAAATCTGTTTCTAAAATTCTGGTTACTTACTTGGAATAAATTCTTCAATATAGTATTGTTTGTTTAAAGTATAAAAATTTTTAAAGGAGGTCTTTGATTCTATTTTTAAATTGTTCTCTGGGAAGTTTATATTAATTTATATGCCCATCAACAGAGTATGAAATGGCCATTTATCTCAAGATAGGAAAAATTTTAAAAATTTATTCAGTTTTAAACATATGCAGCGATTAAAAAGTAAAATGGAAAATGATTACTGCTAAGTTTTTTCAAAATCTCTCTTATAAAATTAATCCAAAAGTCTATGCTGTAAGCACATATAACTCTTTATTGTTTCCTTAATTAATATGGATCCTGTGTTCTAAAAGGGGTTTTCAAATGATTTATAAAATGGATAATAGGGGCGCCTGGGTGGCTCAGTTGGTTAAGGGTCTGCCTTCGGCTCAGGTCATGATCCCAGGGTCCTGGGATCAAGCCCCATTTCCAGATCTCTGCTCGGTGGGGAGCCTACTTCTCCCTCTCCCTCTGCCTGCTGCTCCCTCTGCTTGTGCTCTCTCTCTGTCAAATAAATAAATAAAATCTTTAAAAAAAGTAAAATGAATAATAATCAACAGGGTAAATTGAGAATATTGCAGAAGAAGAAACATAAAATGTATAGGGCTATCTATATAAAATGTATAGATATTAGACTCCCCAACCTAGTCCTGGATCACCGTAATCTACAGGTGTATGTTGTGTAAATGACATCTGCAGATGCTGTCTTATACTGCAAATTATTTTTGGAGGTACCTGTGATGTTTTGTGAAGTAGAAATTTACTTCTAGTGAATTTATAAACTTTCTTATAAAGAGCAACTTCTCTTTTTATTTAGTAACTAAATTATCTGTTCTAATGGAGGAGTAATTATGACTATATGGAGAAAATGATAATTTTAATTCTAGCTTTCTTGAAAAATTTCAAAATTCCTTTCTCTACAATATCTACCAGAGTTAGTACTAAAACTTATTACTAAGCTGCATAATGCTTTCTCATTGCTTCTTTTCAACTATATATATTTTTTGGAAGAGATTGAAGTGAGAAAGTAAACATGAGCCCGAGAAAGGAAAAAAATTGAGAACATAGAAATTTCATTTGGCTAATAAACCAACATATGTGGAACCAGATCATAAAATGAACTTTTTATTGCTTTCAAAACATTTTAAAATAAGCACATTTATTTGCAGATTTACCTTCACACAAGAAGAAGAAAAAAGAAGAAATGCTGATAAATTATATGAAAAAATGAGGGAGCAATTCAGAGAAAAAGAAGAGCCGTATAATAAAGAAGTTGAAATGAAACAACAACTTGAACTTCGTCTTGCAACAGTAGGTGCGGAATTGAGGACTGTGAGAAATAATTTGGATCAGGTAAATCTTTGATAAAAATTGCATATTTCCATCAGTATTATTTATAATATACCCTTGATTTAATGTATATTATTTAGGTATAAAATAGATAAAAAATTTAATTTTATCCTAATAGGAAGTATAATATTTTTAGCTAAAATTATTAACTTATTGGAATTCTTGGCCTCTCATATATGCTCTCTATATATTTTCTGAATGAAGGGATAGAGGGTAAATTGAGATAAATGTGAATGTTGGCTTTTTTTTTTTAAGATTTTATTTATTTTTAGAGAGAGAGCATGAGCAAGGGAAGGAGTAAAGGGGGAGGGAGAGGGAGGGAAAAGAATCTCAAGCAGACTCTGTGCTGAATGAAGAGCCCGACTCAGGATTGGATCTTACAACCCTGAGACCATGACCCGAGCCAAAACCAAGGGTAGGACACTTAACCAACTGAGCCACCCAGGCACCCCAGTTTTGAATTTTTTATGTTAAAGTACAGGCTCAATCGCCTTGAGACTATGATGGAACTAGTTAAATGTTTTGTAAAGAAATTTTACTTTCACATACTATATCTTCTTGTATTTTTACCTTATGACAAATTTAGCTGTCATTTAAATTAAAATTTGAGTTATTCATTCAGGATAAAATCCTTGTATTTAAAAAGGCTACTTCTTTTGAACATTATTTTTAAGTTCTCTTAAGATTTTGATTTTTTTTTTAAAGATTTATTTATTTGGCAGACAGAGAGAGAGCACAAGTAGGCAGAGAGGCAGGGAGAGGGAGAGGGAGAAGCAGACTCTCCACCAAGCAGGGAGCCCAATGTGGGTCTCGATCCCAGGACCTGGGATCATGACCTGAGCTGAAGGCAGCCGCTTAACTTACTGAGCCACCTAGGCGTCCCTGACTTTTTTTTTTTAATGGTGTGAGCCAAAATCCTAATGAAAATATGTTTCTAGGTTGTAGAAGAGCGAAATGACGCTAAGTTACAACTTTCTCGAGAACAGAATGCCAGAGTACAAGATGGAATTCTAAAGAATCACCTTTGCAAACAAAAGGAGATAGAAGTGGGTAATAACAGAATGAATTCTGGGGTATTTTCTTTAGTTATTTTTAAGTACATGTGTGTATGTATTTATATGTATAAATTATTATTTTTTCTCCATGTAGCATATATATATTTTAAAAACCAACACTGTAGATCATGGAAAGCATAGAGGATTTTAAAGCATATATATGTGTGTGTGTGTATGTGTGTGTGTGTATTTGGGGGCCATAGGGGGTGGTGACATTTTTGGTCCAGTGGATAAAGTAATATCCTTAATTTAAATGCGTTTGTCTGCAAGAGTCAAATAGTGACATTCATCATGTCCTCATCCAAAGGAGAGGCTTTTATTACTTTCCATAAGAATTGTTGAGCTTTCCATATGCTCAAAACTATTGCTACTAACAACATATGTTTCAATTTTTGGCAGTTACTTCATCACCTCTGTATTGAAAGAGAAGTTAGCTTAACACTGCCACTGATGAACAGGAGAAGAGTGTAGCCTGTTGAGAGACTTTCTTTTGGATTTAGTCTCTACTTTTGAGAAAAGTAGCAATTTGCTCCAAGTAATATCCTATTTCATTACAAGGCACTTTTAAAACAATTATATGCTAATGATAATTTATTGATGAGTGTTTTATTCCTAATAAAATAGCTCCATGTATTTTCCACTATTTAAAACATCATGAAGAGGAAATAAAATTTATTGCATCAGCAAATAATCTCATGATTTTTCTAACAGTTGTATAAATTTTACATTATTTACCATCAGTATTTTGAAATATAAGGCTTCTTTTGTATGTATGATTTACACTAGAGAAGAGCTGCGGTTTGGTGTAAGAGACTAGTAGTGGAGTAAGAAGACCTGGGGAAAGTCCTGTAGCTCGCTTAATGTTTTAAACCTCTCCATTCTAGATTTGTGATACTAAAAAGTTCACTGATGTCGGTCGAAGTGTTTATAGTACAGTGCCTAGATTTGTCAGTTATCAGTAGATGTAATTCTTATACGTGACTATAGAAATGTTAGAAAAGTAGAATTTGTATGGAATATTGTCAGGAAAAAAGAATTTTAGGAAATTGAATCTGTCAAAATAAAGGCAGAGCTCTGGATTTTATCGTGGGGTAGCTGTGTTAGATATGAGACTGTAAATTCAATTTTTAGTGTAATCAGATTTATTAATCTTTTATGTCAGGCTTTCTGGGTTTGTTGTAAATCAGAGAAAGACCTTTGCAGGTCTGAGATTCTTAAAAATTGTGTCTTGATTTCTTTTCTCCTTTCATGCATTCACTGTCTTCAATTAAATTTTTGAAACTTTGGGAATTTATGCTTGTATCAAGTTTGAGGTTTGGACCCCACTTTATTTTTTTCCAGTTGGGATATCCACTTACTGCAATCTGTTCATTGTATAAACATAGGTTATTCTTTAATTTCAGAGAAAATCAGGATAATGTCATTTTATTGAGTTCCAGCTAAAAGTCTCCTTTGTTTTACTAAGATGTCTAATAGTCATAAAGAAGAAAAAGATCTGTTGCCTAAAACCCACATGTGGCAGGATGAAATTACCATGCTAAGACTAGAAATAGACACAATAAACAATAAGAACCAGGGAATGGAAAGTAAATATTGTGAAGACATTGAAATTATAAAAGAAAAGAATGTCAGTCTTCTAAAGACCATAAAACTGAATGAGGAAACATTAACAAAAACAATATTAGAATATAGTGGACAGATTAATGCCCTGACCACTGAGAATACAATGCTAAAGTCTAAACTGGAGAATGAAAAGCAAAACAAAGAAAGACTGGACACACAAGTTGGATCATATCGAGCTAGACTAGCTACTGCTCTAGAGGATTATGATCAAAGTCAGGCATCAAAAAGAGACCTAGAACTTGCTTTCCAGAGAACAAAAGATGAATGGTTTCGTCTGCAGGACAAACTGAATTTTGATGTGTCTAACCTAAAAGAAAACAATGAGCTTCTTTCTCAAAACCTTTCTAAAGCTGAAAGTAAATTCAATAGTTTAGAAATTGAGCTCCATCACACAAGAGATGCTCTCAGGGAAAAGACTTTGGTTCTAGAATGTGTACAGAGAGACCTAAGTCAAACACAGTGTCAGAAAAAGGAAATGGAACACATGTATCAAAATGAACAAGATCAAGTGAATAAATACATTGGAAAGCAGGAATCCTTAGTGGAGAGATTATCTCAACTACAAAGTGAAAATATGCTGCTTCATCAGCAACTAGATGATGCTCACAACAAAGCTGCCAGTAAAGAAAATGTACTAATTAATATCCAAGACCAGTTTCAGGGTATCATAGAAAAACTTCAAGCTGAAAGTGAAAAACACAGTCTTTTGCTGGAAGCAAGCAATAGAGAGCTAATCAATTAATGTAATCTTTTAAAAGGAAGAATGTATCAGTATGAAAAGGAGAAAGTAGAAAGAGAAGTTAGTATCCAGAAAGATAAATATTTTTCAAGCTTTCTAAGAGAAAATTCAAAGTAGAATTTTATTATTATTATTATTTTTAGAGAGAAACAGTGCACCTGCACATGAATGGGAGTGGGTCAGAGGGGGAGAGAGAGAGAATCCCAAGAGGTCTCCACATCAGAGAACTCCACCTCATGCCCCCGAGATCATGACCTGAATGATTATGGCTGAATTTTGAATCTACTTGAATATAAAAAATATATAGACTATGATTCAGCATAACTTGGATCCAGCAAATAAAAACTAGACTTGAGAGGGGCTTTAATTTGAATAAAATTGTTGTGTCATCTTTGAAAGTTTAAGAGGTTAAGTTATAAATTGTTAATAGTAGGCTGATACTAATAATTTAGTCTTATACTGCAAAATAATAATTTTAATCTTTGTTACCACATTTTAATATCATGATGAACAGACAAATGGAAATGTTCATACCTGCAATGAGCATGTTGAAATTGAGATTCAATTAAGTGGATTCACTTGACGGTTTACTCCAGATTTCCCACATGAACTGAAGTGTAGACACTGTATCTCAGTACTTTTCCTTTGGTAGCTTTTTATACATTTTAGGTTGAAATAATTTTATTTTTATTTATATAAATTTGAATTTTTAGTCTGAAATCATGTGTCTTATGACCTTTTAACCCTTTGCAGGCACTTTTCATTAAATCGTAATTTGGGACAACTGTGGAGAGCTTTAGCAAAACTGTTTGATTTAATCTTCCCACTGCTATTTATAATTTTTTAAGGCAATTTTACAAATAATTTGCTTATTTCAAAGCTCAATGACTATCATTTGGGCATAAGTTTGTCCAATACAAAGAGAATTGTATCTGTAATATTTTAATTTGGCATTGGATCTCCATTTTCAGACTAATGAGGGGTGGCAGGATTCTTGTACTGTAGCAGGAATGGAGGCCAGGGAGGGAGGTGAAAGCCAGGTTATCTAGGGCCTTGAAGCCCATTAGCATGACTTCACTCTTGTTCTGAGATAGTAATGTATTGGAAGGATTTGAGCAGAGGATTGAATACGTGAGGAAGTTTGACATTAATTTAAGCCTCTAATAAAAAAGAGGGAAACCATGGCATCATGTAGAATTTACCACTGCTAGGCCCACCTATATACCCATTTCTTTTTGAGACTTCAGTAGGGTGGGAAGCTTTGCAGATTCATCAACAAGGAATGGAGAGTGGGGCTGAATTAATTATCTAAGTAACATAACACTGACTAGGCAGGAGGATAACACCTGTATGTGGTGATATTTTTCGAAGTACATATGTTAGAGTTATATATTATTAATATAACTTAATAGTAAGATAATTTATAAAATCAGTAGCAGAAACGTCTTATTAGGTAGCTGTGAGACACCTTCAACTAGAACTGGCTGATGCCCTAAAAAAAACAGTCTATGTCAGAGGCTTCGCTGGAGGTTACATCACATTGCCGTATTAATTTAGAAGATGAGACACAGGATTTGAGGAAGAAATTAGGTCAAATCAGAAGTCAGGTATGTATTAAATGTAGCATGTCAACAGTTAATCTGTAGCAGGTTAATACAAAGTGTTTTAGGATGCTAATTTCTATGAACCATTTTCTTTTGTATTGTCATTATAATTTAGTGTAATTTTAGTATCTTCACAATGCACTTATTTCTTAAACTTTGACTTTCATTCTGCTATTTGTGTTATACATTTTTTTTTCTTACAGTATTTACCCTTAGGAAAGTTGAAACTGATTCATCATTCCTCACAGAAATTGAGGGACTTTTTTTTCCTATTGTACAATTTTTTTAAAGATTTATGTAGTATTTGAGAGAGAGCGAGAGCGTGTGCGCATGCACACACATGAGTTGGGGGAGAGGCAGAGGGAGAGGGAGAGAATCTCAAGCAGACTCCCTGCCCAGTACAGAGCCCCACGCCAGCTCGATTCCATGATCCTGAGCTGAAATCATGGGTTGGATGTTTAACCAACTGAGCCACCCAGGTGCAATGTTTTTTAATGATATCTCTGTTACCATGATGAGGTGAGCCATACAAAATCAGAAGATAATCTTTAATGGAATGTTTCAGACAATGGTCTTATTTCTCATGTTCACTTTTATGAACGGATACAGAATCTGTACTGAATTTAGGATAACTTGTACAGAAAAGTCATTTTACAAACCAGTTGAACTTAGGTGTTTCCTTCATTTTCTTTTCCTTTTAGATATATTGTAAATGCATAGAAATATTCAGATCATGTGTGGTATATACACCCAAAAGAGAGAATTAAGAAATTAAGAATGGGTCCTGCCGTTGTTTTTTTGTTGTTTTGTTTTTAAGATTTTATTTGACAGAGAGAGACACAGTGAGAGAGGGAACACAAGCAGGGGGAGTGGGCGAGGGAGAAGCAGGCTTCCCGCCAAGCAAGGAGCCTGATGTGGGGCTTGATCCCAGGACCCTGGGACCATGACCTGAGCCGAAGGCAGCCGCTTAATGACTGAGCCACCCAGGCGCCCCCATTGGATTTTTTAAAAACTTTATTGAGATATAATGCCCATACCATACAATTCACCCAGTTAACATGTATAGTTCAGTGTTTCTGATCATATTCATAGAGTTGTGCAACTATCACTGCCATCAAGTAGAACATTTTCATCACCCTGAAAAGAAACCCTTAGCCCTTGAGCCCCCAGCCTCAGGCAACCACCAGTCTACTTCCAGCCTCTATAGAGTTGCCTATTCTGAATATTTCATATAAAGGGGGGTCACACAGTGTGTGGTCCTTTGTGACTAGCTTCTTTCACTTAATGTTTTCAGGGTTCATCTGTGTTATAGCATATATCAGTGCTTCATTTTTTTTTTTAATTGTCCAACAGTACTCCATTGTGGGCCAAAACCCTTGTTCATTCATCATTTGATGCACCTTTGGGTTGTTTCCCACTTTATGGCCATTAATAATGCTGCTCTGAACATTGATTTAATTGTTGTCTGGACATCTGTTTTTATTTCCCTGCCATCAGATTTTATCCTCTGAGGTAATTGGGTTGATTTCACCATCTGTCAGCCTTTTACTCATGCTGTCCTTTCTGTCCTTTTAGTTTCCCTTCCTCTTGCATAATCTTACACTATTCAGACCTGGCTCATAGTCTCTCATTCTCCAGGAAGCTCTCTCTGACTATTCTAATTCCCACTGACTTTAATCTCTTCACACGTGTCTCATCTAGTCTATGCAGAACAATTTAGTCCTTTATTTTACATTGGTTTTATTTTTTTCATGATAGATAATTTTGTCTACGTACACATTTATCTAAGGGGGAAAATATGGGATATGCATGGTACCTATCCTTGTATAAATTGAAAATATTTTAACTTAACAGTGTTTAGGATAAAATTAAGTATTCATACCGTATCAATAATTTCTGATTGAAAGCATTGACATAACAAAGCTTTTATTCTAAATGTATTTTAAGCAATTAAATGTAAAATTGAAAGCATTTAATCTGACAGAGGAGAAGTGTTCAAATGCTTGTTTCTCCTCCCTCACTGTGGAAGAGCCGTCTAAATTTGCCTTTCTTCATTTTGCAGCCAGTACTGAGATTACTTTACCAACTATAAAGCTCCGGGCACAGCTTTTCTTTCTTTCTTTTTTTTTTTTTTAACCTTTCTTTTTTAAAGTTTGTTTGTTTGTGTATTTATTTACTTATGTAATTTCTACACCCATCGTGGGGCTTGAACTCATGAGCCCAAAGTCAAGAGTCACGTTCTTCCCACTGAGCCAGCTAGGCGCCCCTGGGGACAGTTTTTTCTGATATGCCATATCACATAGCCTTAATGTATTCATCAGAGTACTTGCCAAAGCAGTGTAACAGAGACAGTTGTTAAGATAATATAAACATGAAATGATTTGGGAATGTTGATTTAGCAAGAGTCCATTATTTCCACGTCAGTGGCTTTACCTTGCCTCTGATGGTCATGTAAATATTTATTACTCAGTGTAGGAGGTACTATTTACCCTGTAGTCCATGAGATTGTCCACTGAGTAGTATAGAGAGGCAGTAAGTTAAAATTATTATAAGTGGAAAAAAGTACTGTTAGCTAGTGGAATTGGTAAAAGTTTTTTGAAGTATGGAGGATGTATTCTGGGCCTTATGCTCCCCATTTGCTGCCACTTTCAGTGGTATGAAGAACGATTTCAGTGTAACTTGTATAAGAGACCACTTTCATTGGCCTACCATCTGCCTAAAATATGAAATATTATTAGAACATAACCTACAGCAACAATAATAATGCTAATTGCAGACAGAATTTGGTGTGTGCCACATGCCCTTCTAAATAGTTCATGTATAGGGGCACCTGGGTGGCTCAGTCGTTCAGTGTCTGCCTTTGGCTCAGGTCATGATCCCAGGGTCCTGGGATCAAGTGCTGCATTGGGCTCTCTGCTCCACAGGAAGCCTGCTTCTCCCTCTCCCACTCCCCCTGCTTGTGTTCCGTCTCTCGCTGTCTCTCTCTCTCTGTCAAATAAATACAATCTTTAAAAAATAAAAATAAAAAAAATAGTTCATGTAAATTTCTTAAATTAATCTTCCCAACATGCCAGTGTGGTAGATACTATTTTTATCTTCATTTTATAGAGAAGAAGCTGAGACACAGAAATTTTAAGTAATTTGTTCCAGGTCACACAGCTAATACCTAGTGAGTTGGGATTCAGACCCCAGGCATTCTGGTTCCTACGACGATAATGCCTCTCATACTATTCCATGAAATATCTAGTTGTCACTGAAAGCAACATGTTAACTTTTATAAGCACTGGAACAGCCATGGTCATCACATATGTGAATATTTAAAAGTATAATTGATGTGGTACTTCGAATACAAAAATAGAAATGTTTACCATAAGATAATTTCCTATCTTTCCCCCTTTGACCCATATATAAATTCGTAGATTTAGCTGATAAAATATAATTTAAAAACATTAAAAATGTGACATTTTAGTAACTAGAGAAGTCAGCAAACTTTTCTGTAAGGGGATTGTAAATATTTTATTTTAAGATTTTATTTATTTGAGAGAGAGAAGGAACAGTGGGGAAGGGCAAAGGGAGAGATAGAGAGAAGCAGACTCCCTGTAAATATTTTAGGCTTCGTAGGCCATAGGTCTCTGTTGCAGCAGTTCAAATCTGCTGTAGCCATAAAGCAGTATGTAGAGGAGAGTGTGGTTGTGTCCACTAAAATTTTATTTACAAAAACAGCTGATGGTGGTTTTATACTAGATTGCCAGTAGTTAAAAGTATTTCTTTTTTTTCTTTTTTAGTTGCAAGAAGCACAAGATCGACATGCAGAGACTGTAAGATGTATTGAGACGTCGAAAGATCATGTGCAAAAGTACAATTTAAAGCAGCACAGAACATAACTTGAGTATTTATAAAGCAGAGAAGCAGTGTAGAATGAGAAATATATCAGTTATGATAGTTACATCATTGTTAAGCTGGATAAAACTTCCAGCTTTGCGCTATTTGGAAATGCATAAATTTTGCATATTATCTTTAAGTTTTGCACATTAACTATAAAACACAACCAGAAAAATGGCACAATTGCCAAATCTTCTACTTTTTAAATTTTTAAGAATTTATGTAAGACAGTCAGATGTTTGTTTAGAAATTATACGGTACTTTTAAAATTTATGTGTGAGAATAATTTTAAAATACTCATTTTAGGCTTGAAGTTGAAAATGCCAAGTTAAAAGTTACAGTCAAAAAACAAGCGCGCAAAATTGAACAACTTCAGGAAAACCTGTTAAGTACAAGTTTGGTAAGTCAGTCTCTTAATTTCTGTCCTACTGAAAAGGAATTGTTATTTCTCTAGTAGTAGTATATAAGACCATTTTGGATAATATGAAAATTCTCACTAATAAAAATGTTTATTGTATTCATATTGTTGCTACTTGCTACTGGTAGTATAATTCCTCTTTATAGATGAAGTTGACTGAATTCGTAAAGTAATAATTTTTATAGTAAGATTGTAATAAAAAAGATTGTGGTAGTCTAAGATAAGCAATATTTTATACATGCCACATTTTATTTATCTATCTGGCAGTGGACAATTGAGTTTTCCCACCTTTTGGCTATTGTTAGTAATGCTGCTGTGAATATTGGCATACAAACGTCCGAGTCCCTACTAATATTTTTCAGTATGTTTAAAAATTCTGAAACTTTGACTCATAATTTGATCTTGAATTCTGACTTTCTCTTGTAATCTAAACCCTTCCGTGAGATTTGAGAATGGATTACTTTCATGATAATTTGTTGTGATTTGTAATTATAAATTTGTAATTTGTTGTCTTCATCAAGAATGACTACTAGGGGGCGCCTGGGTGGCTCAGTTGGTTAAAGCGACTGCCTTCGGCTCAGGTCATGATCCTGGAGTCCCTGGATCGAGTCCCGCATCGGGCTCCCTGCTCGGCGGGGAGTCTGCCTCTCCCTCTGACCCTCCCCACTCTCATGTGCTCTCTCTCATTCTCTCTCTCTCAAATAAATAAATAAAATCTTTAAAAAAAAAAAAAAGAATGACTACTAGGTCATTATGCAAACATTTTTCTCAAAGGAATATATTTTTGTCTTTGTTGGATTTTGAAAAGGAAAAGAGATGCCAGTGAAAAAGTGGAAATGACTGCTCAATCAGGGCCTTACAACATAGTGCTCCTAGAATTCACTGCAAGTTCAGGAACTTTTTTTTTTTTTTTTATTAATTTGAGTTAATCAGCCTTTCAGAGATTTAGCAATCGAATCTCAGAAAAGATTAATGTGCAATCCGGGATTACAACTTACTGATACGTAGTGCAAACTATATAACTATTTACCAAGCAGAACCGGATTATCATGCCATTTGTACCCTCCTTCATAGGAGAGGCTACCAATGATTTAAGATGAGAAGACTGCATTGTGAGTCCTAGGTTGGAATAATGAGGTAGATGCACCTACCACTAGTTTCTTTTAGTCACAGAAGCTGCATCCTTGCAAATTTCATTATACAGCTATACCTATCAGGGGAACTAGCACATTCTGTTGACTGGTCCTTTTTGTGGCCAAAGAAACATCGAAAGTTTCTAAAGTCAGACGATCATCAAAACTGTAATGGGGACTGCATGGGAATCAAAAATTATTTTTTTTCTTGATTTCCTATAAATTAGTCACATTGTATTACTATAGTTTTCATTGAGCAAGTAAGGTGACGATATGTGAATGAGAATGCCAGGAGTTGTCCCCCTACGGTGTCATATAGAAATCTATTAAGGAAGCTATCAAATCTTGTAAAGTTTGTAAGAATATCCGTAGGTATTCTGTAGATTCCAATGGAAATGAATTAGGGTTGTGACATAAAATTATTAGCCACTTTAAGGTCTACCCTGTGAAACAAACACTTAGCTTTCAACCAACTCAGTCCACAGTCCTAACATCTCTAGAAGGATTTTATCTCATGAATCCCCAGGCCAGAGACTACCTGGGTTAAGATATTTGATGGACATAGTTTTGAGGTGAAGTCTGGATTGGGAAGAAGAGATAGCTCTAGGCTGACTTAAGCTTCCAAACAATATAGTCAAGTATGTGTCTGAAAAGAACTTCAGAAGAAGACTTCCATAAGATCCAATCTCTATGGAATAGGAAATTATTCAAAAGAAAACAAAGGCAAACAATTGATAGTCTGACCGTTGGGAGAAACATTTGCATCAGAAAAGAAAAGCAAGACAGAGTATGGTGGTCAGCATCCTGAGGGTAAGGGTGCCCCCTGAGATGACAAAATAACAATACACTCAAAGTAATACCAAAAAGAGTCAACATAAAATGTACAAAGTTAGCTGTCTAGGGGTACCCGGGTGGCTCAGTCAGTTAAGCGCCTGCTTTCGGCTCAGACCATGATCTCAGGGTCCTGAGATCGAGCCCTGCTCAGCTGGGAGTCTGCTTCTCCCTCTCCCTCTGCTCCTTCCCCCTATTCATGCACTCTCTATTTCAAATAAGTAAATTTTTAAAAAATTAAAAAAAATTAGCTGTCTATAAAGGTAATCCACATCAGGTAATGGTTTTTGAGTGTGTGGTTGAGAATATTGTCTATGAGGAACGAGAAGGAAGATCAAAAAGTAGAGATGACCTCAGTAAAGGGGTCAAGGCTGGAAATGTAGATTAGAGAATCTGGTTTTGAAGCCTTGAGATTTAACCAACTCTGAGAGGATTTGATAAGAGGAATAGCAAAGGTCAGGGACTAACCGCGGTTGCTGTCCTTTAGAAATAAAATGGGATTAGAGAGCAGAGGGAGGGGATGGTCATTGTTTTCAGCTGTTGCTGAGAAGTAAAGTAGGATAAAGACTTTAAAAAAAAGATCCTTGATGACCCTCAAAAGTTTTTAGTGGAATTCCAGGATTGAAACTCCCAATTTTAGTGTAAAAGAAGAAAAGTGTTGGAAAGATGAATCTGTGGATGAGATGACACATTAAAGAATGCTCAAGTCCAGTGAAAGGGGAGAAGCAGGATGATAGAAAAAGCTGCAAGAGTGAAGCAAAAGTTTTTATGTAATATGGAGAAGACTTAAACTTTATTTAAAGAGAAAGGTAGTTAATAGAACAGAAGAAATTGAAACCTTGCGGAGATGCTTGCAATGCTTGCAGAGATGGAGAGTATCTCATTCTAAAGTCAGACGATCATCAAAACTGTAATGGGGACTGCATAGGAATTTTTCAGAGATTATCTTAAAAAGGTATGATCTCACAAAACCCAGAGTATTTTAAGCTATGGATGAAAATGTTTCTAGGGCATCTTTAGAAACTAAAATGTAAATATAACCACTTTTTAAAATTTTTCATTAACACTTAGTTAATATGGTAAGAACCTCTGTATTTAACAAGTAAATTTTGGCAATTTCAATTCTAGAAAAAATAATGATGAAAATGTAAAATCAGTTTAAGCTGTTTTTAAGAAAGGTCCTTATATTTGAAATTTGTATTTATTGGCATCAGGTTTATAAAAATATATTATATAAAACTTAAAATTACAAATTTTAAACAACATATAAATTTAAAATTATAAATTTATGAAATTTATAAAATGTAGTATATGAGCCTTTCTAAACATGTTATTACTTATGAATTCATGAGAAATAATATTTTGTGAGAGAAGAATGAGTATCTAGATCTTTAAATTATAATTTTCTTTAAAAATTTTTTTCAAATTCTGATGATGAAAAGGGACAGATAAAGAAATTTATTGAGTTGAAAAAATGTCTGGAATGTAGTTTGGATCAAGAAATGAAGAAAAGGGCACCTGGGTGGCTCATTTGGTTAAGGGACTGCCTTCGGCTCAGGTCATGATCCTGGAGTCCCTGGATCGAGTCCCGCATCGGGCTCCCTGCTCGGCAGGGAGTCTGCTTCTCCCTCTGACCCTCCCGACCCTCTCTCATGTGCTCTCTCTCTCTGTCTCTCTCTCTCAAATAAATAAATAAAATCTTAAAAAAAAAAAAAAAAGAAATGAAGAAAAATGGTGAATTATAAAAAGAGATTACTAGGTAAGACTGTAATATTTCAGATAATTTTAACCATTAATTAACTGATTTAAGTGTAATTTTACTTTATTAAATACAAATACTTCTCAAAATATTACACTTAATCTTTAATGATTCCTTAAATAATTACAACAGTTCCTTTAACAATAACAACTGTAATTTTCATTGTCCATCTTGAAGAGTTTCTGCAAGATATCTTTATTCTTTGGTAATACTTCCTTTTAATAGTGTCTTTCTCTTCCAACAAGTACTTTAATATCTAAAAACCTGTGTTAATGTTTAATCATGTCAAAAGTTATCTTGGTTTAGCTTATATTTTCTTTTTTTAATATTATTTTTTAAATTTAAATTCAGTTAACTGACATAAAGTATATTAATTTCCAAGGTAGAGTTCAGTGATTCATCAGTCTTATATAACACCCAGTGCTAATTACATTAGGTGCCCTCCTTAATGTCCATCATCCAGTTACCCCATCCTTCTCCCCTCCTCCACTCCAGCAACCCTCAGTTTGTTTCCTATGATTAAGAGTCTCTTGAGATTTGTCTCCCACTCTAATTTCATCTTGTTTTATTTTCCCCTCCCTTCCATTATGCTCCTCTGTTTTGTTTCTTAAATTCTACATAGGAGTGAAATCAAATGATAATTATCTTTCTCTGACTGACTTATTTGGCATAATAGCCTCTAGTTTCATCCACGTCATTGCACGATTTCATTTTTTTTATTGGCTGAGTAATAGTCCATTGTATATATCTACACATCTTCTTTATCCATTCACCTGTCAAGGGACATCAGGGCTCTTTCCACAGTTTGGCTATTGTGGACATTGCTGCTATAAACATTGGGGTGCAGGTGCCCCTTCGGATCACTACATTTGTATCTTTGGGGTAAATCCTGGGTCGTTGGGTAGCTCTATTTTCAACTTTTTGAGGAACCTCCATACTGTTTTCCAGAGTGGCTGTCCCAGCTTGCATTCCCACGAGCAGTGTAAGAGGGTTCCCCGTTGTCTGCATCCCTGCCAACATCTGTTGTTTCCTGACTTGTTCATTTTAGCCATTCCAACAGGTGTGAGGTGATATCTCATTGTGGTTTTGATTTGTATTTATTTCCCTGATGCCGAGTGATGTTGGGCATTTTTTCAAGTGTCTGTTGACCATTTGAATGTCTTCTTTGGAGAAATGTCTGTTCACATCTTCCACCCATTTCTTGACTGGATTATTTGTTCTTTGGGTGTTGAGTTTGATAAGTTCTTTCTATATAGATT